GTAAGGACAGTGTTGACATGTAGTGGGGTTGTTAACCATTGTCATAGGGCAACATGTGTACTAACTGTTTAATGAGAAACTATTTTGTTCTGTAAACCTTCATCTAAAGTGAGAATAGCAGCACAACTAGAAGAGCGTAGTCGATGTCACTGAACTGTGCATGTAGAAATTTTTGAAATGGTGTATCTTTGGCTATGTATATGTTCACCAAAAAAAAAAAGGTCAAGAAGGGAGAGGGTTGACATGTCATGGAGTTGTTAACCAATATCATAAAACAATATGTGTACTACTGTTTAATGAGAAACTATTTGTTCTGTAAACCTTCACCTGAAGTACAATAAAAAAAAGAAATAAAACTACATGGGTAGTTTACATATTTGAACAATTGGAGTAAATGGGTAATCATATTTTTGCTTCACTTATTTCAGAAATAATTAGGTTATGCATTTTCTAAGCATTTACAGCTAGAACAAGAGTGAGAATTTGAGGGGATGGGTGATTGAGGAAGATTACAAACTGGGGCCAAGGAGATAGGTGAGAATGAATTGGTAAAAGGAACAGTTAGAAGGGGTGAGTACGGTGGATTAGGTCAAAGGTTTAAGTGCATAGAACAAAGAAGGCATTTAGAACATAGAGGTAAGTGCTGCTGACATCTGAGGAAGGGCGGGCTGGTAAACCAAGTACATGGCAGTCCTCCTGAATGCACTATTGGAGCAATACATTCCCCCTCCAGCCAAGTTAAAAACAAGGTTCCTGTCCAAAAGGCTTATAAACTAGACAATCTTAAAAATCACATGTCTGAGAATTTCCAACTTGGGAGAAAACAATTTTTAAAAGTTCTGAAATATAGTATAAAACCAAACAAACAAAACCGTTGCTGTCGAGCCGATTCCGACTCATAGGGACCCTATGGGACAGAGTAGAACTGCCTCATAGGGTTTCCAGGGAGCGGATGGTGGATTCCAATTACAACCTTTTGGTTGGCAGCTGAGCTCTTAACCACTGAACCACCAGGGCTCCATATATAACATACTGACAAAATATCAGTCTTCAAATTTTGTGAATTTACATTCTTCAGAACTAGCATCCATGTATGGTCCCTGAAGTCCTAGGGGTTTGGTAGCTTTAGGTGTTGGATACATGCTCAGAAGTTAACATTTTTATTTATTTTTTCTTTGTGGGTTCTGGTTGATGATCCCATGGAAATAAAAATGACTTTGCTTGGTTTGGCAGAAATGTAAGAAAGATAAACTGCATGGGGAAAGAGGCAACCTGTTCCAATCCTTGTCCTCAGATCTTTTCATAATATATGCGTCAGCCTGAGAAATTTTCACATGTAATGCCTAAGGCTAATTATGTAGTTTGGCTACAAAGAATTGGTGAGGATTGCTCTGAATCATTTTGATGCTAACACTATCACAAGACAACATTAAATCATTTGGAAATGATAATACCTCAGGTTAGCAACTATTTTTGCAGCTGTTTTTCCTTGTCAAATTTGTTTGAAACTAAACTCAATAGAATTGGTAATGTTGAAAGAAAAAAAGGCAAATGACTACATCAGCTTTGTATTTTTTTCCTCACTGTGTAAGTAATAGCAAAAAAAAAAAAAAAAAAAAAAACAGGCGCTTATCTTCTTCCTCTTATTGGCAGAGGTTCCTTAATTCAGGGACTCACAGTCTTTGAGAAACTTCTGGGTAGTCTCACTACTCCCACCTTTCCCCATTCTCGTCCATACTCACCATTGCAAACATGCTTGTCTTTCTAACAGTCAGTTATTGTCTTTGTCACTTTCCTGCATACAATGTTGTAGTGGCTTCCAGTCACCGATATTTAACTAAACTCCCCAACCTGCCATTTGAGACCCTGATTATCTGGATACTGCCTTTACTTCCAGCCTCATTTCTCACCACCCCTGCATATTCTCTACGTTCCAGCCATACTGAACTACTTCAATTCCACAAATATTTGTTAAGTGCTTATTTTGTGTCAGCCTCTGAGCTAGGTGCTGGGGATTCAAAGATAAGAAAGACATAGTTTTTGCCCTTAAGGAGCTCACACTCCAGAGAAACAGACATAGTAAAATGCAGTACGTAAGTATAGCATGTGATGATATATGCCCATGTACATTCTAGCACTCTTTCCACCTGAACTAAATTTTCCTCTGTTTCCTGTCAGCTTTCTATCTGTCCTTCAAGACTGTGCTCAAATATTAGCTTCTTTAAGAAGATGATGCACAATTAATTACTCGAATGATTTGTTAAGTTTTTGTGTATACTTTATTAGAACTTATTTCACATTTATTGTGATATATACATATATATGCTTATAAATATTTGTGGAATGAATCGCTTTTTAATATCATTCCAATATCATAAAAAACAGAGATATTCTAGTCTTCATAATTCTGGCTAGATAAAAGATGTGATAATGTTCTTCTTCAGTAGAATTTATTTGGAGTAAACTGAAGTTTATTCATAGTATTCAACGTAATAGTTAATATTTATTGAACTTTTCCTAACTACCAGGCATTGGCTTAGGAACTTTATACAAATTGCCTGCTTTAATTATCATGAGAATTATATGAGTTTGGAAATATTATGATTTTTTTATAGATTTTGTATAGAATTAAAAAAATATGTCATCATCATTATAATAGCTAATAGTTATGTAGAACTGCCTATGTGCCAGCCACTGCTCTAATGCTGGTTATATATTAACTCATTTAATCCTCATAACATGGCTTATGACATAGTTTCTATTATTATTTCCATTTTATAGATGAGAAAACTGAGACACAGAGATGTTGAGTGACTTTTCCTAGATCACACAGCCAGTGAGTTGTGAGGCTAGACTATAACCTAAGGGGTCTAGAGTTAAAGTCCACATTCTTACTCATTATGTTACACAGTGTTTCACTTTATAATTAACACTACAGTGCATGGTTCAAAATAATTAACTATTATCTATGGACACTTGAAATAATAAGGATTTATATTATATAAACTATTTTCCTCTAATTACTAGTTGGATCAAGATATACTCCTGGGAATTCCCTCGCATACTTTCCATCTTGCCCATTTCATTCTTACTTGTTAAGCAGGGGGAAATCCCATGGAAGATGCAGATTTGCCTGATTAAATGAGGGGTTGTGTAAAATGTATGCTTTTGTTAAAGTTTTAGATCATATCTTTTTTATACATTCTCTAGGTTCCATTTTTCTCTTCTTGGTTCCACTTTAGGATCAGGATCAGTGTGGAATGTTTATCGGCTATTGGCCCTGCAAAAACAGGCTTACTGCTTTTGGAGCTGGTGTAAGAAATATTATCACTGTGTCTCTGGTCTGAAAATGATTTAAGTTATATTTAGCGTAATAGAAAAATGATTAGTATAGAGTTCAGACTTCCATCCAGTGTACACAAAGTATGATCCCTAAATATCAGTAAGATGTTTATGGTTGTTAAAGACAAACTCACTTGAGAATTCAAACAGTGTGATATCTTTTTCAGCATACTGCCTCTAGTTTGTCAAAACTAAGACAAAGATCTAGCTTAGTGACGAAGGAAAATGACATTTAACCATTATAAATTAGATAAAGATTGAAAGGAGTGCTAAAAAATATGAAATAATAAACTTAACAGTTGATGGTTGGAATATATAGCCTTTAAATTAAAGACACTCAAACATCTATTTTATAGAGGTTGGAAATATGATTTTTTTTTTAAATCATGTATCAAATATCTTGAGATCTGTTTCTAAGATGCTCTCTTTTTCATTTTCTCCTAAATTAATAATGAATTACTTTAAAATAGTAAATTACTTTTAAAGTCCAATATACTGGAAGAAGCCTGGTGGCACAATGATTAAGCAAATGACTGCTAACAGAAAGGTCAGTAGTTCGAACCCACCAGCTGTTTCTCAGGAGAAAAGACCTCCTTCCGTAAAGATTATAGCCTAGGAAACCCTATGGGAGCAGTTCTACTCCGTCCTATAGAGTCAGTATGAGTTAGAATCGACTCAATGGCACACAACAACAACATATACTGGATTTAAATTATGTAAGTGATGAGTGATGTTATTACCTTATTGGTATTTAATGCTCCAGGATTGTAGAAAATGAGACGGCATAGTAAGTATTTGTGGTAAAATCTATTGAAGAGTTGTCTTCCTATACACTCAGAATTAAATTTAAATAAGACTGTCCATATCATAATTAAAATGAAGTAAAGAATTAGGATCTATAGACAAGTTTCAAAGAGAAGAAACTTGGAAATGGAAACAGGAAACTCAGGTTCTATGATCAGCTTTACCACCATCTACTTTTGGGATTTAGGGCATGTGGCTTCACCTCCCTGAGATTAAATATCTTCATTTATAAAATCGTGAATTTGTGTTGATTTTCAAGGTCCCTTCCAGTTTTAAAATTCTGATTCCATTGCTGGTTCAGAATCATATCTCTTTCAGAATCCATTTGCTTGGATTTATCTTCTTTGCTTACATCTTCTTCCTGAACATATGAAATAGGAACACTGTAATCCTCCAAGCACAGGTATCAATCTAAATTCTATCAAAAGTGAGAGGAGAAGAAAAACTCTGAGATTTATCACACACTTAGTCTGATGTTTACTTTTCATATATTGATTAATTTTGTCAGTTTGCAAATATTACTGTAGGTAGATACTGTAAATTGTAACTAAATTATAATAGGGTGGTAAAGTATTTTGCATTAAATGTTTTTGTATCTGCATGTTATATATTTGTTTCAAGAACATGTACTTTTTCATATGTAAAATAAATTGTCAGTGACATGCAAATGTAATGAATTGCATCTATTTCTAAATGAATATATGCTAAGAACTGTATATTATTCACTTATCTCTAAATTGGAACTTACATGCTGTATACATGTATTTAGAAAGTGAGACAATGTGTGTATTGGAGCAAGTAAATATTTACCTTATTAAATTGTTTTTTTCTTTCTTCCTTTTACTTTCCCATAGACTTGCTGCTTTCAAATAGCTGTATTCCCTTTTTGGGTTCAGCAGAAGGACTGGATTTCCAAACTCTGCTCTTAGATGAGGAGAGGGGCAGGCTGCTCCTGGGAGCCAAGGACCACATCTTCCTGCTCAGTCTGGTTGACTTAAACAAAAATTTTAAGAAGGTCAGTTTATTTATATATAGTTGACTAGATTCATTTATTTATATCTGTTCTCCTTTCCTTTTGTCTTGTTAAGTGGCTCAGTGTCAAATGGAGTAGGTTATTTACATGTCAGAAAATAACATATGCATTTTGAATTTTTATCAATTTAAGTCCATGTGCATGTTCTTTGTGAACAGTGAATGAGTATAATGCTAAATCCTTTGAAAATATGATAAAAGCCATCAAAAGTAAGAAATTTACACTACGGTATACATAGAAATGCAAATTTGGGGGTTGAAAATTTTTTAAGAATGAAATTTCTTATTAATACCAGTTATAAAATTAATGTTTTTAAAATTGTAATTAACAAATAAACACATTTTCAACTGATGTTGTGGCTATGGTAGCATTTTACAAGCACGCTGTTTTCTCCACACTCTCATTTTACATTTGGAAAGGTTTCTTGTATGGCCTCACCACACTCAAATAGTGAAGATTAATAATGATCCGACTATGGGCTCATTAAGAAAAACCTTACTACTAAAACAGAAATAGTAGTCCCTGGGTGGTGCAAATGATTAATGTGCTTGGCTGCTAACCAATATGTTGGCAGTTGGAGTCCACCCAGATGCACCTTAGAAGAAAGGCCTAGGGATTTACTTCTGAAGAAATACCAGCCAATGAAAACCTTACGGAGCACAGTTCTATCTTGACACACATGGGGTGGCCATGAGTGAGAATCAACTGGATGGCAACTGGAACTGGAAAAAAGAAATGCATACTAGTTATTCTAAACACAAAAGGCAATTGCTGTTGTAGCCTATATTTCAGACAGCACTGCCGTATTCAAAGTGTCACACTTTAGGCCTTATCAATTATTATTAGCAGGTACTTTAGCAAATACCAATGACTGTATAAGCAGAGATGGACACTGTGTTTTTTCCTTCAAGAATTTATTTTAAAAGTGTTCATACTCCCAGGAGAGCCTGTCAATGGCATCAAGGAATATCTTAATAGTTAGTGAACACCATAGCAGGGGATGAAAGTTTTTATGAAAGGGGCCAAAGAAAAATCTCAGTCTACTTTGCGGTTTTTCTTTAAGAGATACTACATTGCTATAAAAGTGTTTTTCCAAATATGTCTCATTTTTGTATAATAGCAAAAAGCGATTCATACTTTAAAGGGAATTTGTTCTTGTGCTGTTCTGTGCCTTCAGGGTTTGGAAGCAAAAGACCATTTATCTGAATTGAGTGTATTAGATCATTGCTTAAAATAAATTCTGATAACATATCTTCATCCTGTGACTATTTTAAGCAAATCTACTCTCTTTGGCCATGTTCCATGCTTGAAATGTGCTAATATTTAATAAAATAAATGTTTATGAAATATTGATTTCCCTTCTGGTGTTACTGAAATAGATGGTCATTTGAACACAGAAAATTAGAGTCTGTCTACTAGATATTTTCTGTGTAACTGATATTTCTTTAAATCTTTATGAAATGTATAATTCATAAGGGGGTTATGTATGTATGCAAAGGTAAGAGTTTATGTTTATGTAGTCACTCACCTTTCAAATTTATATAAACCATTCCAGTAATAAAAGGTACTCCACAGTAGCAAGTAAGTGTCAAGATGTAGTACTTGAGCCGTGTTTAGACCTACGTGGTTTGCATTGGCTCAGTGCCCTTCGGCAATGTTCCAAGCTCCTCTGTGGAGAAAACTACACTGGTTGGGACTCTGAGGGTCTGAAGGATGTCCTTTGTACCCTTTGGAGTTAAAGCAGTCTATAACACATAATTGAGTTATGGGTAGCCGATCAGGAATTCTGTCCCCTGGGGGAGAGAGTGGTATCTATAGAAAGTATTCAGTTGACGTAGCAATATTTAGTATATATGTTGTACTTGGAGTTTTTTTTTGTTTTTTTTTTTGTATAAACAAGGCTGTGCCAATTGCAAAATAGCCATTATCACTTCACATTTGCCACAGGCATTTAGTGAAATAGCCACTAAAGTAAAATAATTTACGAAACTAATTTGGTCATAAATATTTAATAAAACCTTTCTTATTAGCTTACTCTTCTTCAGACTAATTTTGAGCCTAATACAGTGAATGATTCAAGTATATATTCAATAAATATTTGACAGATAAATGACTGCACAGGAATGAAAGTAAAAACTAGACCTTTCAGAACATGTCCGTTATCTAGAAAGGAAAAATGAGATTTGTTAAAATCCTTTCTTAAAAACACAATTTAGATAAGAGAGAAAAGATTCTGGTCCTTTTTTGAAGGGAAGGACTCTTTGTATACAGACAAGATCGACTTAAAGGCAAATGTAAGTACATGTAACTGGATGTGACATCTCACAATTTAACTAGGCTTTTCCACAGTTGGACCAGAAGGCCTTACTTCAGTTAAGGAACATTCTGTGGACTCCCGTCTAGGACAGATATGCACATTGATTCAATATATTCTTCCCCTAAACTATTCCAATATGGAGCAATCAGAACCAGACAGAAGTGATCACATTTGAAAGGAAGGACAGAGATCTAGACTGTAGTTACCACTATCATCATTTGTGTTGTGGGTTGAGTTCCCCCGGAAACTGACCCTGAGATGGAAATCAGCTTGTAGGATATTTTAAGGAAGTACTCTTGGGGTCAGTACCTGTGGGAGGGAAGCTAAGGAAGCAGTATTAGGTAAAGAGAGAATTGAACTGAGACGCAACAAAAGCTTAGCTGGCAGGACAGGCTGATAAAGTAGAAAACATTTCAATATTTTCCTCTAGTACATGTGATAATACCATTATTCCACTGAGTTTATCTCATAAAAGATAATCTCCATTTTCTCCCTCATCTAATACATGTGCCAGGACCATCATAATTACCTTAAAAAAAAAAGTCTGATCACGTGTTACGATTCTTCCCTGTTTCGATACCATCTGAGAATCTTGATTTCCTAGGAGCTTGAATAAACGCCGTATCTCTTAGCATTGACTTCTGAGGTCCTTCCCAACGTATTTCCATCCTATGCTTCCAGTCTTACGGTTAGCCACTCTTCATTGTTCCCTCACCCATACTCTGCTCTCTGCTTCCTTTTCCCTCCCCTTACTTTACTGTCCTCTCTCTCCTCTCTTTGTTTCCTTGCTTGTCTCATTCCTCTTCATCCTTCCTCCAAGTCTTCTCCTCACCCTCAGGGGAATTAAGTATTTTTTGTGTTCTTAAAGTATTTTATGTATTTATCCCGGTGTCAGATACCTATCTGATAACATTATCATTATTCATTTGTGTAAATACACCCCAATCATCTAAATTATATACTCCTTGAATGAGGAACTATTTTTCATGCCCTTCTATTTCTTCTTAACGTATAGCACAATGTCTTATAGATAAAAGACACTAAGTAATATATTTGTTTAATTTTTAAAAAATATGTGACGATAGCTTTCAAAAATATGATTTTGTTTTTTTTCATATTTTCAGTTTGGAACCAATATATTACTCTATCAATTACCATGTTTTCAGTTTAGAATAAAAGACATCTAACCTGGACTGATAAAAAGCAAGGACATTTATTATGTCATATAATATGGATAATGTCCAGAGTTTGGGTGGCTATGGAAATGGTGATATCAGCTGCTTAATGGTGTTATTGAGGACCCTATTCTTTCTGTCTCTTCTGTCAGTCATTCCTGGTGTTGGCATTATCCTTAGGTTGGTAGCAAGATGGTCACAACAGTTTCATGGGTCAAATTCAGACAAGGAAATATTCAGGAGGAAAAAAAATCACTGATTATGTCTTTTTCTAAGGGGCAAGGAAAGCTTTCACAGAAGCTTCCCTTACACCTCATTGGCAAGAAATATGTCAATTAGAATTCCTAAACTCACAAGGTAGATGGGGTTACTGCGATTTGCTTACATCAATAAATTATCTAAGATGAAAGAGATGTTCAGAAATCAAGCACACTGACTGCTACAGATACAGAGAGGGAATAGAAAATAGGCTTTCTGTAAAAATATTTTTCTTCGGGAACTGATTTTTTTCTCATTAATACAGGTAACCTAAGGCAAATGTCAAAATTTTGTCAGCCAGTCAAAAAAAAAGAAAAGCTTTTATTGCCTGTTTGGAGAGAATTATAAAGATTAGCTGGTCTTACCAGGAAAGATTTATTTTTCTTTGAGGGGATAGCCTTGGAAGGCATTTATTGCCAGTAAAAAAAATCCTTGAAATAATTACTTTTTTTCACCCTGCGTGGTAAAAATTGAAAAATCTGCTAACCTTTACAAATACTTCTCTTGCTTATATAAGCATTCAGTTGCCTCTGTAAAAGTTCTCTCTGATTCTTTATTTAATCTAAGCTTTATGAAATCGATTCTGTTTCAGGTCTCTTCAATATTGCTGATACCCTATAAGTTTCTGTTTTCCAATATTGTAATTGTTGTTCGGGATGGGTGGCACAGTTGAGAGAGGGAAAGATTACAACATTGCTCAAGAAATTAAAGAACACATCATTATTCTGTACTTCTAATATTTAGTATTATTCACTGAATACTTAATGTACAGAGACCATATTTTCAAAGAATCAAGTAACTGAATGTGACTTAAGCATTGTTGAATGTATTTCAAAGCAGAATTATATCTAAAATACTGCTGCTTTTATTGGTTCAGTTTTGTCAGTGTTGGGGCTTGGAAACCAATTTGCATTAGAGAAGTAAAATTTAGAATACTTTTTCAGTGACTACACTTGGATGCTTTTTATTTTTTATTTTTTTGTCCTATTACTTTAGTAGCTCTGAAGATAAGTAGCCCGAAGCACCCTACTCCTCCAGCAAGGCTCCTGCCCAAAGGCAATCAGCTTTCTTGCTCTGTGGGCCGGAAAGCCCTGTTGGTCTCTCCAGTCACTGTTTCTCTGCCACTGCTTTTCACCTTCTTGCCAGCATTGTTATGACAGCTCTCTTTCTGTCTCCTGGGTCTAGGAGTGTCTCAGTGCAGGAATCCCAGGTCTAAAGATGTGCACCGCTCC